GAGAACAGACAACTGGAATTAGCAGTGTGGTCATCACTGACATCCTTGGCAAACACAGTGTTGGTGGAATGGTGGAGGAAAAAAATCTTGCTGGAGTGGATTTAAGAAAGAATGGGAAGAGAGATATTAGAAAACAGTAGAGAAAATTTATGAATCTTGCTACAGAGGAGTATAAGGAGAGCGGCAATGTACTGTATGGTGACTAACATGACATAATAAAAAAAATATGAAATAAAATCCAGCAAGCTAAGCACAACTAAGAAAGGAGGGGGCATTAGTTGATGCCAGGAGTGGGATTGAAAGAAGTTTTGTTTTGTCTTTTAAGATGGGAGAAAAAACAGATATATGTATGCTGGTGGGAATGATTCCACAGAAACAAAAAACTTGAAAGATAAAGGAGAAAGAAGGAAGAACTGAAGAGATGTCCTTGAGTAAAGGAAGAAGGATGAGATTTAATGTATAACTGAAATTACTGGCTTTAGGTTGGAGAAGGTAAGATAATAGAAGAAAATGTAGAATATGTGGGTAAAATACTGGCTCACTGAAGTAGGAAGTAAGGTCATAAGTTGGGAGTGAGGAGGGAGTAAGAGATATTGGAAGGTTTGATATGGGAATTCTTAGATGGCCCCATGATCTCTGCCTCCTTGGTGCTACTTTTTGTGCAATTCTCTCCATTTGAATGTGGGTGAAAATTGTGACTTGATTCTAATCAACAGAATGTGTCAAAAAGATGGAATGTCAGTACTGTGATTAAGTCATGTTGTATGGCAAAGGAGGTGAGAAGTTGCTCCTGTGATTAGGTTCAATATATAAGACTCCATCTTGCTAGCACACACTGGAGAAAGATTCTCCTGCTGGCTTTGCAAGATGCAAAAAGCCAGGGTGCAAAGTGCCTACTGGAGAGAGGGTCATACTGCAGGGAACTTGGGCAGCCTCTAGAATCTGAGGGTTGCCTCTTGCCAACAGACAGTTAAGAAGTCAGCACCCTCAGCCATACAACTGCAAGGAACTGAATGCTGCAATCAACATGGATCCCCTTAAAAGGGGATTAGGCTCCAGTCAAGTTTCTAGATGAGAATGCACTCCACTCCATCTGATACTTTGATTGCAGTTTTGTGAGACCATGAACAGAGAACTCAGTGAAGCAGTGCCTGGATTCTTGACTATGGAAACTATAAGATAATAAATGGGTGCTGTTTGAACCACTGCGTAATTTGTTACACAGCAAAAGAAAACTAATACAGGGTTGAAAGAAGAGAACTTATGAAATAGCCATCTAGAAAGTAAAAAAGTGAAAGGGCTTATGAGTGTTTGGAAGAATTAAGGGTCCATTTGAGAACTACAGTCATGAATTTGAAGAAAGACCAGCTGAGTTTTATCTGTGTTTTCCTGTAACCACAGCAAGGGTGCTATATATGAGTTACCTATTTTCATGTTTTATTATATTTTGGTATATGATTTCAAATTCATCAGTGAATAAGTAAATGTCTATAAAGCACATATTTCTGCAATCATTATTTTTCCTTTTTCTCTTCATGAAATTTAAGAAGAATCCCAGGAGAGCTAAGAACAAGGAACCTAAAGTTAAAGCTGGAATTTAATTTTTGGCATCATTGACTGATTAACAAAACCATTTTGTTGAATTTTGAAGTAACTGAAAAATTTAGTATCAATAACTTAGAACTGATGATCAAACCCAACTAATTTTTTTTATTTTGTTTTTAAGGTTTTTGAAAACACATTGCTTAAAGAATCTAATTATATTTATCATATCTTTATATTTGCTTCATAGGTAAAATTCCATATGTAAGAAATTTCAAAGTTGCACCTTGCAATATGCGACACATGCAAAAAACAGTCCAAGTTGGAAAACTATTAGCCCTACTAACTTTTCTTTCTCATTAGGGAAATAACAGCACTTTGCTTTATCATTAGACAACATACAACTTAGTATTCTCACTAGTGAAGAAAATAACTGTAGAGTAGTTTAAACTATCTAGAAAAAGAATAGAGAGACTTTGATTACAGAAATATTTTGGAGTTAAAAAAGCAGCAAGCAACACTAGTATCTTAGAATTCTTAGAATTCTTCATTTTCAAAAGCTCTATGCTATGCTATTTACCATCTTAAAGAATACTCTTTCTTTTTTGTATCACTTGAAAGATACTTCAGAACAAAATAAATTAAATAAACATAACCTAACATTTATGGTTAACATTACATTCTAGATACTGTACTGTTCAAGAACAATGAATTTATTTCATTCTTCAACCCTATGAGATGCTAGTATTTGACTTTCACAAAAGAGAAAACTGAAACCCAGTTTACTCAGCAAGTAAGTGCCAGAACAAGGATTTGACCATAGGCAATTTGGCACCAGTCTTGACTTATAACCACCATTCTGTAGGACTTCTTATATGATAGTCCTTCAATTTTCAGGGGGAAATTATTATAGACCAACAACACTGTAGATATAGTCTGCCACTCTGACCTGTGGAAATAGTCTGACCTGTAGAAACATGAGGGTAGAAAAGGTAAAATTTAGTATGTACTGAAACATGTAATCATTTTTAAAAGAATAGAAATTTTTAATGTTGAAACTGCAATAAAACTTACTCCTTGGTATATTTTCTGTGCTTTTTACTTTTGGGTTTTCTGAATATTAATAGTCCCTTAGCCCTTTTTATCACATTATTGTGATAATGTGACATCACTTTAACATAGATAAACTATTCTGGAAATAGAACTCAATCATAACTCATTTAGCTGTTATTGATGAAAATAACACAAACAGTTGTCTGGGCATATTTTATATTGGTTTATAAAAGTTCACAAGGAGAAAGTTTATAGTTTTAACAGCCGAGGGTATCATATTAGCTGTAACACATGAAAATAATTTTCTTAGAGGTTTAAAAGTTCATTTTAATTATGGAGATTTTAAGATGATCATATTAGAACCCATTTTTCTATCTTGGTTACCCTTACAGATCTAAGCTAATATAGTGTGAATTTGAATTCATTGAGAAATACTGAGGGAATAAAATGATCACAAACTACTAATAACATAAGGATGGATGATGACTACAATTCCTTTAATAAATTTAAAAATCTTGTTTTGTTCTTCTTGTATATCTTGCCTCATGTTATCCAGGAGATACTATGCTTGTTTGTATAAAAACAGAAGAAACCAGAATATAAATAAAATATATTTAACAACTATAACTGAGTATAGTGGACAAACCACAAAACCACAAGGAATTATTATTTCAAATATTAGAAAAAGAATTGGTAGAAGTGGATATAGTAAATATCTAGAGGGCAAAAATATTAGCAGACTTCAACGTATAAACTAGCCTTTTTAAGAAATCATTTAATAAAAATTCACATGTTCATATGAAATAAATAAAAGAAAATACAAATCTAACTTCAAAGAGAAAATTACTGAGATAGTTTCTCTTTCCAGATCCAAGATTTTTTACATTGTTCATTGAGAAAAATCATTAGTTTTGTTTTTATTGCTGCTGCACTGATTTGTCTTGTTTTTGTTTGGAAAGGAAAGAATGATAAAGTACAAGAGAAATATTTACAAAATAAAGTTAGTTGTTCCAATAGTTTTCTATAACATGTAGCTAAATTTCACTTAAGAGATAAGGTAGATAGAGTAAAAATGTATAAACACTTTTTTTAACCTCATGCATTAATATTACAAGCTTTGTTCCCATTTTATGTCATACCATTTCCTTCAATGAGAGGTGCTGGGATTCATCACTAGAGATATATGTAGTATTTTAATCAAGTTATTGGGACTAAAATGAGAGTATTACAGTTTTGTCTAAAGGGAATGCTACTGCATAAAATGAAAATCAAGCTCCTACTATAGAATAACATTGTACCCTATGTTAGTTTTGCTTCCAGTTATTATTTTAACATTTTTCCTGAGGTTGCAAAAGTATTAGACTCAATAACTAAGCAAAATAATTCTGACAGCCTTATATTAGATTACATGCAAAAGGCACATTTAATATAGTTAGCAAATATAGTTCAAAATTAATAATTTATTGGTCAACTATATGAAAAATATATTAAAAAGATTAGCTTTTGTTTAATAATTGAATAATCCCATAAGGCCTTGTATTAGTGGAAAAGTAGAAATATTAAAGAAAATAACATCTCTCACCTAAATGAAGCTCAACTCAGACAAAATGAAAATGTGTTTAATCATTTTAATGAATATATTTTCAACATTTGTCAAGTACAGTATGGCTCTGAATTACATAAGATATTTTAGATGAATTATTTAAATGTGCCAAAAATAACTACATATTTGAAAAATGACCTACAAATATTCAGTACCAAAACAATCATCAAATCAAACTAATATATTTCTAATTGCAAAGTCTGCCACTGCACTAAAGAAAATGGTCATATTAAATTAGAAGACTATATCATTTCCTAAGTTGTAAAACAGAAATAAAATTATCACAAACACCAATTTTTAGTTACTTTTAGATTGCTAGGAATGTTTTTCATTGAAAGTTGAAAATTGTTTACATAGTAAGGCATGTCTGAAATAAAAAACAAATGAAAATGCATTCACTTTTAAAGATATACCTTTGCTCAATAAGTCATATTTATACATTTTTTTACATATATGATATTCTTAACTTATATACTAATAATCCTAGGAAGAATCAATAATGGAGATTATAGACAATGACTCAATAAATAACACGCAGAGCTCCAGAAAGTCATAATTTTAAGGGAAAAACCCCAAATTCGAGAAGTCTACCATCTGAATATATTTTTGTTATCTAAAGTTAAAAAACTGCATATAAATATTCAGGAATAATCGATCTTTCTTTCTCAGGTTATTTGGAATCTGACCATGGTGCACATATGTGAATGAACGAATACATCCTTAACCCACCATTATCCTTCTCTCCAGTGTGCAGGCAATCACCCGTGAAAAGTATGGTGTAGATGACAGGATGATACTGTACCTGATTAGCTCTGGAGGTGGTCATGGGGTCAGATGGAGAGGACTTGGTGGTAGTTGGGGAAGATGGCAATGTCTGGGAACAAAGCAGTTCAGGAGCAAATCAACCTTTAAAAGCCTTAAACTGATCATTTAAATAAAACAAAATAAAATAAAATGTAATATAACGAGAACAAAATCCTAGGAACAAATTTTTCTCCTACTCATTCAAATTTAATGGAATTTAAGATCAACTAAGTAACTAATGCATGTAAATATGCATGCATAAGCATGTAAAAATAAATTCATGACTTGAAATCATGATGGTGACAGATACAAAATCCACATGAGCATTAAAGGCATCCTGACCATATTCATGAATAGTAGTCTCTTTTCTTTCCCTCTTGTTTGCTTGGGGGAAAAGAGATATCAAACAAAAATTCAAGAAATTCAATGAGTAAGACTGAAAGAGTCCTTTTCCTATCAATGAATACAGTCGGGGATTGGAAGAAGTGGTGAAATGAAGTTTACTTTGGTATAAAAGCATCCACCTACTTAATATGTTGAACATCACCAACAAGTTGATTCCACATGAATTTAGGGATCCATACTTAAAAGCAACTAAATTTGTAGTTCTGAGTTCTTAAATCACATTATCTTCTAAAATATTAATTTTTAACAAATTTAGAGCCCGTCTGAAAATGTAAACATTAACCTCATATTAATAAACAAGTAACTAATAGCATTTTAACAAATTGCCATAATATTTTTATCATTTCTGTTGAAGACTAAAAATTTAAGATGTATTGTAGCATTATCAGCCTGTGTTGAAAATAAGCACAAAAATATTAGGAATCATATTTTGTTCACTTCATTCTGAAATGCTTCTACATACTATATATAAAATATGTTGTATGAGACCATAATATACTTGTTGAACAATCCATTAATATATTTTAAAAACTTCTCAAGTCTAATAGAATAACCTTGAAGTATAAAATGTTAAACTTTTCTTTTTTAAAAAAAATATTTTCACTTAGCAAATAGCATTGCTTAAGTAGCTCTCTCAATAGATAATATTTCCTAATAGGTGAAATGGGATAGTTTTATAGTACAGACACAATTCTATGTGGACATTTTGTTTTATATTAATAAATATGCATCAAAATTACTCAGATATGAGCAAAAGCATAACTTTAAAGGTTCAGCAGTGTCTGGAAAAGCAGATAAAATTACTTCATAAAATCACATTTCTTCATTTGAGATTTCAAAAGTTCTGATTTGGGTAGAACAAAACAGTTAAGCATAAAAGAAAGGATAGGAAATTCACAGGCTTCTACTTAACTTACTGTTCTCCAGTAACAAAGTAAGATTCGTTCTAACATCAAATCATGTTATAAATAGTTCACTCCTCAAGTGATTCTTGGTTCTTCTAAATTAAAACCTAAAATACTTTGAGGAAAACTACACTTCATGTTGAGTTATACCAAGGTTTTTGTTAAATCATATTTAAAAAGGGGACAGGAGCTACATTCAGAAGTAAAACCTCATAAAAGAAGAAACAAAATCTTCAAATCCTTTGTTTTCTGTTTTCACTTTTTGTAATAAATTCCCACCATTTCTCCCGAGAGACTTTCATTTTCAATTATTAAAAATTGCTCTAATATTTTCTTTTCACGCAATTCTATGCTGGAACATATATTATTAACTTCATGTTACTAATGATGAATAGTAAAGATTTTATTTTCCCACCTCTGGTTACGACTGTTATTACAGAAAATTCCTGGGAGTAGTTCACATACATTTAAAAATCTGTTCTGTATGTATCTCAGATTATGAGGTTGCTGATGAACAGACGTGAAATAAATCTAGAGGTCATTTCTCCCCAAATAGGTTAGAATTTAAGTTCATTAACCTATAGAAGCCCTAAATATGTGTTGGGTTCTTGTATTGCCATCGGGTAAAATCAACCTGAAGTACCATAGGTTCACAAGGACATCGACCTTGCCCTGGGTATGAATTCTCAATAAGGTACTAAAACACTGCAAAGAATGATGTGGAAATAGTAATATCAAGTGGCTCAGAATTTGTAGTCACTTAGACTAATATTATCTTCTGTCAATTTATTCAATCCCTTTCTTTTTGTTTGGCATATATATGAAATATTGGACATGTATTATTAGTAACTGATACAACTCATAGTTACATCATTGCCCTTAATAATTCTGATGCTATTTATTTCTCACAGAAACAAAAAACAATAACTTTAAACTTCAGGGAAAATATTAATGTGTTTAAATTATTAAAATTTGCTTATCAGATATAATCTGATAAGAAATGAAAGTTTAATATTTCAAATAAACTGGTGAAAATCATATAAATCTGAGCTTCAAGGGATAAGATTATCAAAATATCACAATAAATTGTTTCTAAATATATTTTCTTCATTTCAATTCCTAGAATAATGAATACATAATGAAATAAACACATGATGAGTTTTGTAGCTATTATTCACATAGTTTAAACACAAAATGTCTCCTCCCTTTACCAACTTAAGTTATAGCAATAAAAAGATTCCAGAAAGTTTTCATTTTGGTTGATTTTGTAAAGTACTAGCTACAAAAAATTGTTCTAACAAATAGATAAGTGTAAATATATTAAAATAAGGCCTTTAATTAAAAATGTTTATTAATTAGATTAATGAAACAGCTTTGATAGTTTTCTTAACAACAGAAATAGAACCAAAGAATCTATAAGAAATATTTCAATGTACAATATAATGTATGATATGTTTGTCTCCCTATATTTTATAAACAAAACATTTACTTCTACTTACTACAAAGATTTAAAATTTAGTGGTTTCAAGTTAAAAATCATTTAGTAAAATTTCTGTTACACATCATGAAGATGTAACTAACTGAATATCCATATAAGCAACAGTATATTAAAATATTTATTATAAAAAACATGAACAAAGGACACTCTCCTCTAAAAATGCTTTCTTTACATTTGTGAAATAGTGATTGTGAAGGACAGTCATTTTTTAAGCACAATTTTATCTTTCAAATGGAAAAGTATAATATGTTTTTATTTACACGAATTGACTAGCTGTTTAAGAATTCTGCTTTAAAGATTGAAGGCTGAATTACTTATTGCAGAAAAATTTGAAGTATTTTACAATTTCAAAATAGTGGATCCTTTGAAATAGTTTTAAAATATTCATGATTTAACAATAGACATTTAGTTAAATGTAGATATAATTAGGCTTCTGGGAATAAGAACTAGAAAGTAATTACAAATCGTAAAATGCATTCTTGTTAACAAGTGACAGTTTTGCTGGACCAGAAAATATTACTATAAATAAACTCTAATATCCACAGCTTACCTCCAAGCAAATCTACAGTAACAGACTGTCAAGAACCTCTGATATTTATAGATATAGTGAGAACAGCAGTAAACAACAAATCTCAACTGTAATTCAAAATCTATTACTAGCTGAGTAATACTCAAGTAATCACCTTCACAAACCTGTGTTTTGAGTTCTGTTAAATAAATCTGTATAGTGCTCTATTAAAAAAGAAAGGATAAAATATGTGAATATGTAACTGTCATCTTTGGTTTTTCATTGTGACAAGTATCCTCCCCTTCTTCCAATGTCTGAACTATCTGGAACCCCTCAGCACTAATATAAACTCATGTTGTCCAATTTACACAGGTCTTTCAGAATTTATTCTTATTCCATAGCTTACTTTCCTCATAATTGCTATCCTGTACCTTTATCCTTCTCTTCAATCCTTCAATCCCATGTATTTTATCTACCTTTCAACTGATAGTCTTTATTACCTGAAAGAAATCATGATTTTTCAGAATGAACTTCCTTACTTACTACAATTGACTACATTTGAACTTCTTCCATTTTCCAAACTACCTTTTTTCTCCATCTTCTTATTCTTTTCATTATAGACAAAACTGTATACTCAGACCCCCCACCCTTCATAGGTTAGGACCTTAACACCCTAAATATTAAATTTCTACCACTCCTGAGACATCTTGTACCCTCAAAGTAATCTCATCTCTAATTTCTCTGCCTTTTCAAGCTCCTTTTTATTCTTCAACACAAGCCATTCCCTCTTATGTGAGCCTCCCTTATCTAACTTGTATTTTACTCCTTTGTATATCCAAAATTCGAAATCAGCATTTCTACCCTTCATACCATTTTTTCTCCTTACCTAACTGAACTGTTAACTTTTAGGAAATAATATTAGTAGGAAATAATGACTTTGCTCTCACCATGTGATTAACACTAGTTTTTAAATCACCAATAATTTCCTATTTAAAAAAATCATTCTTGTATTTTTCTCTGGGTATTTGATCCTTTTTAGCAACTTTCCGTAAACTTTCCCTCCTTATTTTATCACAGGGAGTACTACTGATTTCCTTTTTATCTTTATGATTAATAAAGAGCACTTGCTAAGAACCAGGTATAGTTCTACTCAGTTAATACAATATCCCTATGAAATAGATTATTATTACTAGTCCCATGTTATAGGTAAAGAAGTTGAGGTACAGAGAAGCAAAACAGCTCACTCAAAAGGTACACAGCTGGTCGAATAAAGAGCCAGGAATTGAACCTGGGCAGTCCTGCTCCAGATCCTATGCACTTAACTACACTAGACTATAATGCCGCTGACATACTTTTTCTGGTAACTGCTTCTTTATCTCATTTTTTGCTTTTTTTCTCTTCTCCTACTATGAAGATGGTAGGCGAAATTATCGCCTTGAATGTAATTAAGGATCTGTATTTTCAGTTTTACATTCTCACCTGTACTTCTATAAAAGACTACTTCAAGAGAAAAGCATACTACTTACAACTTATTCAATCTGTCTGCAACACATAAAAATATTATCTCAAAGAGGCACCTAACTAAAATTCACTTACTGCTTTCTAGGCTTTACCATTCTGCTTGGCTCAAAACCATATATAACCATTTTTCATTCTTTTCTCACCATTTTGGAACTACAACAAATCAGTCTCAAAGCCTTACAGATTTTACTTAGAAATATCTTTCAACTTCAGGTATTTGTCTCAACTTCACT